AACGGTGAACACCTGCGGCGAGCTACCCTAAAGTAAACAATTCGTGAAACTTGTTTTCCTGCACTGTTATTATAAAGTGAAGGAAAAAGCGGAGAATTTTTCCGGTTGGATGAGTCGGGTCTTAATTACAAAGGCAAAGACATAAAGGGAGTATTTGAGTTGGCCGGACGATCGGGGCGAAAAAACACACCTATATACAATAATAAGTCATAATATCCGGAGCGAAAAGTCTGGAAAGCAAACCGCGGCCCGACCACTAAAACAACGCTTAACCGTTCTTTATGGCGGGGAAAGAGGCCGTGCTTTGACTCTGGAAATTACATTAGCACCCCCTGCTGTATTTATATCTGGCATAACCTCGCATTTCACAACTTAATGTATCCTCCCTTTAATTTCGCTACACTGAAACCAATAATAGTAAATGTTTAACGGCCACATTTTCCCAAAGCCGTTCAACATTGCCCACTTTAATGCAGCACTTATTGTCGCCGGGAGAAGATTTTCTCGGCAAAACATCAAATTTAATGGACGATGTGGACACTTAACGATAGATGGGTCCGATTTAATTGGGTTGAGAAAAGCGGAAAATTTTCTACAAACTTGAAGAGAAGAAAATCTTATACATATTTTCTATTCAGAGTGCGTCACATGAGCTGGATTAGATTTAACAAGTTTACCAAGATTCCGTCCATATCCGGGTTCACTCCACGCGTAAAAGCTCAAGTTTTAGTGAGCGGTTCTAACAACACAAAAAGACGTGCGGTTTTCACATCTCGCTCTCATGAAATTGAGACGTGATAACAGACGCAGTAATTGCTTCTACAACGAAAGAAAAGCAAAGGAAATTCGGAAAAAGCGCACCATTTTTATTTGTTATTGAAAAATTTGGAATATACACGTATCGAAAGTTAAAAATATTGGAACAGTTTCGACTACAGTAAAAACAAACTACAAATAGAGTCGCAATCCTTAAAATATTTGTTCCTAACGTAGTCATACAAAAATATAAATATTATAACAACCAAGACATTACATCACATCACATCACATCATCAAACACTTTTACTGTATTAGCACCTTAAAGTAAACCACTTGAAAAAGAACATCTACTGTTCTTGCAAAACTTGAAGCAATAAAAAAAATAAATTCAGTCATTTGGTTTTATTCTTTATTTTGGTTTGATACATTTGTAGTATGATTTTGGGGTAATATCATTTAACATAATTTAAAGAAACATTTCTAATCTAAACATTTCATTTCTTAACATCGATTCTTAAAAAAGTTTTGGAATTATTAGTGAAAAAGTGAAACTTCACATTATACGTAGTATACTGCCTTTTGGTTTATCGTTTTTATACGATTATAATAAAGTGTTCCTAGAACTAGAACTAAAACTAAAAATAATCATTATGTAAATCTTTTTTTTAAATTATTTTTTGAATAATAGTAAAAGTAGTATTCAATAGTGTTTTTTATTTCGTTTAAATTACCCAATAACTAAAAGCATTTAAAATAAAATTATTATATTCATTTGATTTGTAAGGTACTAAAAATATTCTGTAGCGCATAATAATAAAGAAATAAATAAATTGGTTATAAAAGCAAAAACAAGAATAAATTATAATCACACCTTTGTCTGAACTGGTGTTGTTCTGGTTCGGGTGTACCTTTGTCTTCTTAGAGAATGTTAAGAAAATATTCAACTGCGCTAAAATGTGACAACGATTGAGGAGTTTTAAATTTTCAATTTTTGCAAAGTTCAAAAAATTATGCAACAAATTCTGGTCCTTAGTACCTAGTTGTATTCAGAAATTCAGATAAAATGGTTTTATAAAACCATACAAACTTAAATTGCTTCAAAACATAAACTAAAACTTAGAAAACTTTAAAAGTTGATAAAAGGTTGTGATAAACATTGAAAATAGTTATTTATTCTAGGAGTGTGAGTGTAGATCGGACGCATTATTTCACCGAGTGGATTTTTTAAACCACGAGTGTAAGGAGTGGTTTATCATTCACGAGGTGGAATAAAGCGTCCGATTTACATTCAAACAAGTTGAATACAACATTTTATTTTTCGAATTAGACTCAACAATACTTAAACTTGCTTTAAACCTGTTAAAAATAATCTGACGTTTCGTATTGAGAAATGCCAAACAGTTGTCAAAACTTCCTTACACGGGAGAAAAACCGTAAATTTTGACAGTGTCGAAGAATAAAAACTTTTATATGGAATTGTTGTAGACATTATTTCATAAACAGTCTAAACATCTTTTATTACGTTTGATTTAAATATTAAATTTTACGATTTAAAAAAATGTTACTAACTTGATTTTGCATTATGTAAACTAAACACATACAGGCTGTCCCAGCGAGATGAAAAAGTCCATTAGTGACCTTTAAATGGTGAAATTAAAAAAAATATATACAGGCTGTTCCATTTTTATTATTACAAATTTAACCAGGTGATAGAATATAGAACATTGATAGATACTAATCTAGTTCATCGTCTAAAATTATTTTTAACTATACAGCGTGTCTCAAAAATAAGTTACAATACACAACTTGTGTTTTTTTAATGAAACACCATATGTTTCTTAGCGTTTTTGAATCTAGATTTTTATGACAATGTTTTTTTAGCTTAACTCTTATTGGTCAATTTTGCTTAGTTTTAAAAATAAGACGTTTTTTTGACGAAAACATGTACTTCTTAAAAATTTATTACACACAAACTAAGAAATTAAAAAATATTTTTTTACTACCACAAAGAAGAAGGTACAAGCTATTACGTTGTAACATTTTTTTCATTTGCAAAAATGAAAAAATATAGGCGTTTGTTAAAAGTTCAATAACTTACAAATTTAAATGGAACACCCTATTTATTGTTTTTGCATTTAAAACTTTATTAAATTGTCTTTCTAAAATTATTTACTTTTATGTGTTTATAATCAATAACTAAAAAGATATTTAACGTGAAGTATTAAAAAAATAATTACTATTTTGTAAGTAGCCAAAAAGTGTACAGTTGAACAAGAGATGGAAGGAATATCACTTAATAATCACATTTGCGTTAAACTGAATCTATTATTCTTTATTTTTGCAATAAAATAATTCGAATTTCAGTATTTATAACGACTTTTACAATTTCTGGATAAATCAACGGATAAGTGATCTGTGGTGGAATTACTATGGTTGCCATAGTGTCAACAATGCTCAGATATTGATAGGCATTGTTGCTCCAATTAATACTGGATGTTAAATATCTTTTCATTTCAATTTTAGACATTAAAAGTTTATTTGTTTAGATAAACAATTTATCAATCTATTAGATGCAAAAATAAAAAATAGGATGTTTTATTTAGATTTTGAAAGTTTTTTAACTTTTAATTCTTTAACTTCTTAATTTATTAATCTTTACAAATGCAAAACACTAAAAAATTGCTACAGGTTTAAATTCTGTACTTTCTTCTTTGCAAAAATAAGAAAAAATTTGTTCTAGCTGTCTTAGTTTTTACGTAATAAATTTTTAAAAAGTGCATGTTTTCGTCAAAAAAAAACAAAACTAAGCGAAATCAACTAATAAAAGTTTAGCGTAAAAACATCCAAAAATGCCAAGACACATACGGTTTTCATTTAAAAAAACAAGAGTAATTTTAGGTGATGCACTAGATTAGTATCGATCAATATTCTATACATTTTTTTAAAATTTTACCATTTAAAGGTCACTAATGGACTTTTTCAACTCACTGTGACACCCTGTATGTTTCTGGCATTACAAATATGTAATCATTTCAAAAATTTTTTCAGAAAAGGTAAATTTTGTCAAATTTCTTATCTCTCATCTCTTGTCTTAAATTGAATTTTTTATTTGTTTAAAGTGACGACGTCTTGACACTTGTAAGCACAAGTCGGAAGACAAAGTCTAGCAACTGCTAGAACTGCTTAGAACTTAATTTAACAAAAATAACTAAATAAATAAACAAAAAAATGTACAAAAAGTGTACTCTACTAAAACTAAAATTAAGAAAAAATACTTACAAAAAAATATAATAAAAAACAGCAAATAGCAAAAAGCAAATAGCAAAAAGCAAATAGCAATGTTGGAAAAAAACCTATGAATTAATAAATTATTACGCACAGGCACTTGATAACAACTTTTTTTGAATGAAATATTTCACAGACAGCATGATGAAGCAGTAACAAACATTTCATATGTAAACACTGAAAAAAATGTTATTAATTTTTGTCGTTTTGTTGTTGAGACTCAGTTCTTCCTTGACTCCCATGCTTCGCCGACAGCAAAACGACAAAACTTTCACACCTGAAGAAAACACAATAAAGGGCCGAAACGTCGCGACAAATTTAAACAAGTTCCTAATTAGCCTGGACCGACAATCAAATCATTTGTCTTGAATGTTTGCATTTTTCTCTTATCGTATAACTTACGGTTTTAAAATATTTGTTATTTTCGGCATTATACTGCAATATTATTAATATGAAATCGGCTAGAGCTCCCAGATATGCCCCGTCCGCTTTCGGCAAACATTGCAAACACGTGTTGATTAATTTACAGTCGAGATGTTCGAATCGATATCCCGTGCCGTTCGTCCCTTTTGGGGCGTGGGTGGAGTTAAAACCGTCCATCCCGGTCCTAATTAGAAGCGACGCAATAAAGCCGAATGCGAACAGTGGCGTCGGCTCATTTAGTCCGCGTCCTAATTAGCCTAGTGCTAATGCATTCATAGCCGGATCTCGTCGCCTCATCCCGGCGTAAAACGACGAATTCACACGTGGAATCAATTATTGCAACCAACGCACGTAATTGGCACGGCCCGCCAATGGCGTCGCCAATATGCAAATGTTTGACCGAAGTGAGTCGAGGGATGAAGCGGCCCAATTTGGATCGGTTGTTGTGTCTCTAATGACGCCACTTGTTGCTAGGACTACCCTATTCTAGCATTGACTCGTGCCCTGACTCGAAATTTTTACTTTTGACTTACTCGAATATTCCTGTTGGGCTTGGGCCAACAGGGAGGCGAAGACGTGGCTGTCGAGCGGCCTGCTGGGAATTTCCTCTTCGCTGGAGCTGTAGCCGCGCTCCTGGCGCCATTCGAGGCTCCGCTGCCGTCGCATGCCTGACGAGCCCTTCAGCCCGCGACGCCCCAGCGTCCCGCTGCTGCTGTCCATCACCAACCCATCTGAAACAACGACGCTACTTGCAATGGGACGATAAAGATGATTGACGCGAAACGAGAAACGAAACATATTGACAGACACACCCCAATTACAAATGGGGGTCTTATCAGAAAAGAACAGTTATCGCCAGAGACGAAGGAAGTAAACGAGCCTGCTCACAAACATTTATTTATTAATTAAAGTTGATTCGAAGAACGAGAATCGGGCGGTGAGACGTCTGTCAAATTGTAAAAAATTAAATAAGCTTTAATTCAATACTCATTTTTATAATTTTTTTTATAATTTTGAAGAAAATAATAATAATAAATCAAATGATAAATAATATTTTTTCCTGCTTCATGGTTTTGTATAACGGCTAGCTATTTTGCGCTTTATAGGACAAGATGTTACTATTGAATGTGTTTTATTTAGCTCAGCTATCTCCTCGACAACTAACGCACATTCGTAAGAAATTAGACTTTAGTGCCTTGATGCATAAAAACAATTTTTATTTTAATAATAAATTAAATTATGGTTCAAAAAAATGTAGATAATTATGACAAGTACCTCGTATTATTGTAATGTTATTAAAAATTCTGATATAATTTTAGACTCCAAATGACATTCATAAAATTGTTGAAAGTTTTTTTTGGTTATTAAAATTTTTTAAATGTTTATTTACAATAACATCTTTTCAACAAAGACTTACTGAAAAAATAATCATTTGTCAAAACCAAATACAAATAGAAAGAACAAACTTTAAGTTTTTGAAAAACGATCATATTTTGTAGCATCTATGATAATGTTATGTTTTAATCTAGGTATGTACTAAAAAATTAAAATGTAATTTTTTTAAAAAGTGACAACTCAAAATAGCACTCAAAAACAGAATCTTAGTTTTTAATATATTTTAAAAAAATTAAATAACAAGCTAAAAATCATTATATTATTATTTTCCTCATATCACAACAATTAAGACAACTACTTACTTGTAGTAAAATTTTCACATTATATCATCATTTACACTTGAAGGCAACATTTTTTTTTTAATTAAATAAGCTACATTAAATTATTCGTTATACACTGTAATTATAAATCATAATTTATCTAAGACTCAAAAGTTGAGAATATGAAATATTGTTTATGTTATTGTACTTATTTGATTTTTTAACATGACATCAAAAACTCATTTCTTCTGAATATTAGAAAATAAAAACTTAATATGAGAGTATTATTTTTTATAGCTACAATCTTTATTTTTTATTATGATAATCAACATAACTTTTCTAGCAGATTACCGGAAACTTAAAATATTTCTTTTAATTAGTTTTTTTTATGAAGTTAACCTACTTTTACAAACATCAATTTACTGAACTGAAACTGTATATAAAAAGTGCTAAAAAGTGACTAAACAAATAAAGATAAACTGTAAAAACGTAAATAATTAAATTTTGAAAATATTGTATTAGAACACATCCCAAGAGCGAACAAAGAATTTAGACCCAAACTTTTTTTGCTTAAACTATACAGGACGCGCCAGAACTCGCGCCCCAGGGAAAAATGCCATATAGGGTAGCATACCAGGAACATGGAAAAAATGTTTAAAAAATTGTATCTATAAAAATTTCGAAGTTATGAGGGTTTAAAGTTTGCACTTTGACTCTATTTATTTCTGTTGGAAAAATAATTTCCAAGTTTTTTTGCTATAGGCTATTAAAAGAGGAAACAAGAAAGTTGTATCCTAAATTGTAACTCTGTTCAATGTTATTTGTGGCTTTTATTGACCAAATTTTTGTACCTTTACTAAATAATTGTAAAAAAAAACATATACAAGATCATTAAACAGACATAAAAAAATGTCAAATGTCAAAACATAAATGTCAAAATTTTTTGACAGATAGAACATTTTGTCATGTTCCTGGTATCTTACCTTACTTGAAAATTTTCTCTGGGGCGTGAGTTCTGGCGCACCTGTATATTTTTTCAAAAAACTAATTGATGAATACCTACTATAAAAATATACAATAAAAATGTTTGATAGAAACACACCGCAAGTAAGTATAATGTGGACAAAAGTGAGGTTCTTGCTACAAAAACTTTGAAGAAAAAGGATGTATATTCAGAAAAATGTTATTTAGCAAAAGATACAAGTAGGTATTATGATGATTTGAAATAAATTTTGTGTAATTTATTGAAATGAGCTCAAAGTATGCATTTTATAAATTCTTCTTCAGCTGTAGTTTCAAAATTGTTACTTTTTCAAGTCGTTCCTCAAAAACAATGCACAAGACACTAATTTAATTACGTTCTTTCCGAGGTTCTTTCTCATTCATGTTTATTTTGTATTCTTGTTAATTTCTTGCTAAAAATTGAGAATGTTTAGCAAACCTGCATTACAAATTGCGTCTACATTTTAACGAGCTCTTTTTCTAACTTCCTGCTTGCGAACTATTCGTTTCCGAATTTCTAAAAACTGTTAACGGTACCGAATTTGTTCCTTTTTGGGTGTTTCTTCTCTAAATTTTTTGTGTTGACGTTTAATGACATTGTTTTCAAGTTAATTCAAAAAACCGGAACTGCCAACATCCTTTATTAAAATTATCATGAATGTATTTGCTAGTTGTGCCAACGTTAAGACTGTTTGGCACTTCCATTCAAAAAAAAAACTTTACATATTTAGCAGAAAAAATAAAGTGTTATTAACCCGGCGCATCCACCATTTTTACAAGTTGTATACTTTTACGATAAAAGCGCTTCAGTGCCTAACCCCAAACTGTTCTTTTTCATTAGCCTGTATTCATATTTCCGCCATTAATTTCATGTCGACGCAAGCAACTTATAAAACCGTCAAGTTGTTATCGGCGGTCTTTCTCGTGCGCTCCTCTGCTTGGTTCTGGCGGTATGTCGGAAATACCAAGACGAAAGTCTTACAAAGCGTTTGCGGATTGTTGGCTGTACGCTCTCGCTAGGTACTGTACGAAAACTTTGTGTGCTAGAAATTGGAATTCCGCAGCATCCTTTGAGCGCAACAGTCTGCGAGATATGTTCGAGGGGAGGAATTCATGAGCAGCATCTGGACCGAGGATGTGACGATGTCAAAGAAGCGCACCCTCAAGGCCAATTCCGGAAGTTGCTTGTTGAAGAAAAATTAAGACGCTGCGGTTTTTTCTCTCTCCCAGATTTGGGTGCACATTCACTATATTATGCTTAGGGAAAGTTTCAGCAATTTATTGTTTAGGTTTCTAACTATTTAGCAACGAGTTACCTAGCGAACAAGCCTCGGGGTGTTATTTATAAAACGTTTCAGGTTGGATAATATTTTTCAGGAGAAGAGAACAAACTTAGAAAACATAGCCTGCGGTTACGAACGCGTAAACACGTTTTAGACTCATTAAGTAATTGTTTTGTTCGACGTTCTTTTCTAATCAAGACTTTAATTATTCTAATTAGTCGTCTGTTTTGATTAGCTTCGGGCCACCGGAATCCGCTCCGTTATTACAGAAGAGAGAAGGAAAAACATCCCCGATCGTGCCTCATTAGCGTGGATTGTTTTTTTCTGCGTGGTTGACACAAGAAGCGAGCTTTCTTAGGGGAAGTTTGCCAGGTGTGTGTATTTTGAAGGGGATGAGAGCGCAAAACTTAAACGTTCCTTCAAATTATGATGAATAATTCAAATTTGATTTGCATGAAACGGATGCGAACTTTTGCACGTTTTCTACTAGAAACGTTCTTAATAAGTTATGAGTGGAAAATGTTTACTCAAAGCCTCTTTCACCTCAAACTCTACCAAAAAAAAAAAACCTAGCACTTTTCTTCCGATAAGAGAAATTCACTCTCGTGAAATGTATGTGAATGTTCCACCCCGGAAATTTGCAGCTTCCTCTGGAGCTTCTTTCCAATTATTGCCTTCCTGTATGATGCAAATCGTTGCCTTTTCACGATTCCTCCTCAGGGTTATTATTTCGGTAAAAGGGGTGCAATGTTTGTTTGTCAAAGGGGTGCCAGTTTTAATGATACTGAGGATCGATAATTGCTGATCTCTTAACGATTTACGACACCCTCGACATCCGCAGGATTAGCCGCAGATCACGTACTGTATCTAGTGCGTGATTGTGATTTTTCCACAATCATAATCAACGAAATTCCTGAATTATCGACATTTAATGGCGCATTAAAATTACACTCGGCGCTCGTAAATACCCGTTTTATTTAATAATCAAACTAGCGCAGCTAGTAATTGAAGGATAATAAAGAGGAAGAGATAATGTTCCACTTTATTAAATTACTGTGTTTTATTGCAATTTTAATAATGGAACATCAATTAAAACACCAGAGCTTTAAAGAAACTTTGCATTTTGGCAAAAAGAAAATTAAATATGTATTTCTAGTTGCAAATAGCCACCCACAAGCCCGATTTATTTGACAGTTTTAATAAATAAATACTATTTTAATTGCACATAGACAGAAACTAGTTTAATCACAATTCTATTTGTTTCGAAAACAATGGGGACATATGCAAATTTAAATCGATTACATTGTTAGTTTTGTGTGTGAAACCGCCAATTAATTGATTAATTTTAATTATTAATTATCAGGAAAAAAAGTGCAATCCTTGTCACACTAAACCTATCATTTATGTAACAGTCGAGGTTTTATTTTTCGTCACGTGCTTGCATGATTATCAGAAATTAGATCAAGCACGTATTTCCCTATTTTTTTTGTTAAAACTTCAACAGGTATATGACGCTCGTCCGTTGTTTTGATTGTTATCGATTAGGATTGCTTTATTTTTGTGCACTCTTGTGCAATAAAAGCAATGAATTTCTGCTGCGATTGGGGGAAATGCAATTCTTGTTTATTTGGGTGCAATAAAATGTTAAGGTTTTATAGTTTCTTTGTAGATGTCATTATATCGGGTTTAACGTCATGCCTAACACTTAATAAATTCCGATATTTCAAAAATTAATAGGTTTGTCGCTGGATATTCGAGCATTTGGAGAAATATTAAAATGTTTGGATGTTT